GTGTGTGTGTGTGTGTGTGTGTGTGTGTGTGTGTGTGTGTATGTATATGTGTATGTGTGTGTGGGTGTGTGTGTGTGTGTGTGTGTGTGTGTGTGTGTGTGTGTATGTATATATGTGTATGTATGTATGTATTTGCATTGGGTTGGTACAACAGTCATGTTTCTATAAGGACTGTTGTGCTAACCTGTATTTTCTCTGTCATGTCACAGGTGAAAGTGGAGGAGGAGGATCAGCAGGTGATCTGTATCAAGGAGGAGCCAGAGGAGGCCCCGGAAGTTATATCCTGCTTACTGCTGGACAATCAGTTGAACCGTGGCCATCTGGCTCAGTCAGAGGTGACATTTCTTACTTTAAAACCCATGCATGGCATGCATTTTTTTTTTTGCAACACAACGCATGTCAAGTGTACATGATGTGTACCTGCAGGCCATGAGGGATTTATTAAGGAGACCTCCCTTGAATATTTCTGGATAAAAGTCCAGAATTAACTATTTATTTGCAGTCCACAGTATTACAGTATTGGGAACAAGTGACGGCAGTGATACGCTAGATCCAGCAGATAGAACTGTGGAGATAAAAAACATTATTCGATGTGGCAGTCTGTATTTTGTATTTGCATTACTGCCAAACACAGTACTGGAGTGTCAGAGCATCACCATGTTTAGCATTTTCTGATCTTGATGTAAGAGCTTCACTGATTTGCTGTGGTGGCTGATTTTAGGTTTCGATGTCTGCCGCACAGTGGTCAGGACTTCAGGCCAGCCAGAGAACATGCTCCTCAGGTTTCAGCTCAGCTGGACCAAGCTCTTCCTGTGAGTACCTTCTTTACGCTAGGAGGGAGTAGGGCTCAGCAATCTGATTATTAGATTGCAGCTCCAAGCTCTTCTACTCGCCATTTTGTTATGCATTTTATAAATACTGAACACACTCAGTTAAACGTTTTGTGTCAGGGGGAAGCACAAGTTTCAGGTCATTCCATTTCATGTCACAATCACTGAATTTGTGGATCAGCCCAGCTCATTGTTGACCACTCACAAAAGGGTTTGTGGTTGTGAATATTGAACCTTCATTGTGAACCTTCACTATTCTTGTAGGATAAGGAACGAACCCTGCCAGGACTCGCAAATACATATGAGTAATTGACAGCTTCAACTGTAAAAGTTTGTAATTGCTTAAGGACCATTTTTGTCAAAATGTGATTCCTCATCACACTTCAACATTGTTCTTTGGCACCAAGATGCCTCAAGATGGGGCCAAAGCAATACTTTTATTGCCTTAGTCTGTATCAGGGATGAGATTTTTCCGCTTTTTGGCGGAATTCCGCTTTTTTTCCAGTCAAAATGCACCTATTTTATATTGTTCCCAATCCGTAAAAAAATTCTGGGGGGGTCCGGACTTGTCTTCGGCATATTCGGGGCTTGTAATGTTTACAAGTAACGTTTGCAAGCATCCATTTTGAATCCCGTTTTTTTATCGCGAAGCGTTAATTTGTTGTTACTTCCTATATGGGCTAAAACCAATGTCTTACTTGTTGTGATTGGTCGCTATATCGGCAAATGCAAATCACAACCAATCCGTGTTCGCCTTCCTAAACCCCTTTCTCGCGAATGCCGAATGTTATCTCGACTCGCGACGAAGCTAAAGTGCGTCAGATAGATGCGGATCTGAAAAACACGTTTTGATGGGACTGGTTGGAAAGCTGACGGTGTCCCCAGTAGGAAACAGTAAAGAGGAACCATTGTGCTTGTGTCGGATTTCGTGAAAAAGCTCGATGTCGCCGGTAAACCTCTGTGTACATTGAGTGACGATGTCATTCTATACGGATCGAGAGGATGGAAAGCAGACATTTCTACTGAAAAGTAACTACTCGATCTCAAGCGCTTTTCGACAG